AAAGCCTTTGACTGTGTGGATCACAATAAACTGTGGAAAATTCTGAAAGAGATGGGAATACCAGACCACCTGACCTGTCTCTTGAGAAACCTGTTTGCAGGTCAGGAAGCAACAGTTAGAACTGGACATGGAACAACAGACTGGTTCCAAATAGGAAAAGGAGTACATCAAGGCTGTATATTGTCACCCTGCTTATTTAACTTATATGCAGAGTACATCATGAGAAATGCTGGGCTGGAAGAAGCACAAGCTGGAATCAAGATTGCCAGGAGAAATATCAATAACCTCACATATGCAGATGACACCACCCTTATGGCAGAAAGTGAAGAGGAACTAAAAAGCCTCTTGATGAAAGTGAAGGAGGAGAGTGAAAAGTTGGCTTAAAGCTCAACATTCAGAAAACTAAGATCATGGCATCTGGTCCCATCACTTCATGGGAAATAGATGGGGAGACAGTGGAAAAAGTGTCAGACTTTATTTTTTTGAGCTCCAAAATCACTGCTGGTGATTCACAGATGGTAACTGCAGCCATGAAATTAAAAGATGCTTACTCCTTGGAAGGAAAGTTATGACCAACCTAGATAGCATATTTAAAAGCAAAGACATTACTTTGCCAACAAAGGTCTGTCTAGTCAAGGCTATGGTTTTTCCAGTGGTCATGTATGGATGTGACAGTTGGACGGTGAAGAAAGCTGAGTTCCAAAGAACTGATGCTTTTGAACTGTGGTATTGGAGAAGACTCTTGAGAGTCCCTTGGACTGCAAGGAGATCCAACCAGTCCATCCTAAAGGAGATCAGTCCTGGGTGTTCATTGGAAGGACTGATGTTGAAGCTGAAACTCCAATACTCTGGCCACCTCATGAGAAGAGTTGACTCATTGGAAAAGACCCTGATGCTGGGAGGGATTGGGGGCAGGAGGAGAAAGGGACAATAGAGGATGAGATGGCTGGATGGCATCACCAACTCGATGGACATGGGTTTGGGTAAACTCCGGGAGTTGGTGATGGACAGGGAGGCCTGGTGTGCTGCGATTCACGGGGTCGCAAAGAGTCGGACACGACTGAGCAACTGAACTGAACTGACTGAACTGAACGAAGACTCATCTCATCATTAAAAAAAGTACTGTGAAACTTTTAAGTTTCTTTTCCTATACACACAGAAACACACTGTGATTTTTAAAATGTTCATATTGTGCTTTGTAACAATATTTTTGTAATATTACTTTGTTTTTGGCCGTGCTGCATGGCATGTGAGATCTTGGTTCCCTACCAGGGATTATTAAACCTGCACCCCTGCATTGGAAGTGCTGTGTCTTAACCACTGAACCACCAGAGAAATCCCTGGAACAATATTTTTAACTAAGATTGTATCATGAGAACTTTTCCTTGTCATTAATTAGATTCAAAAACACCATTTTGATGGTTTGTGTGACATTTCATCACATATAGGTATGTTAAGTAGTAGTGTTTAGTTGCTCAGTCGTGTCCAACTTGTCATGACCCCATGGACTGTAGCCTGTCAGGCTCCTCTGTCCATGGGCTTTCCCAGGCAAGTAGACTGGAGTGGGTTGCCATTCCCTTCTCCAGGGGATCTTCCCGACCTGAGGATTGAAACCAGGTCTCCTGCAATGTATGCAGATTCTTTGCCGTCTGAGTTACAGAGAAGCCCTTACGCAGTTTGCCTATACACAGTTTTTTTTTTTAAGCTTTTGCATACATAGATCATATTACAAAAACAGTGGAATATATATCTATGTGTATGTATCTGAGTTTAAGCTTATATTGATTTCTTTAGGATATATTCTAAAGGGAAACTATGCAAAATGTTCAAACTTTTTAAAAGTTCTTAATCATACTGACAAATTATTTTCTGGAAAACTTATACTGATTTATCTCCCCAACTGTAATGTAAGAATATTTCTCTTCGAAGGTTGGAGGGTGGATCAGGATGGGGAACACATGTAAATCCATGGCCCATGGCTGATTCATGTCAATGTATGGCAAAAACCACTACAATATTGTGAAGTAATTAGCCTCCAACTAATAAAAATAAATGAAAATAAAAAAAAGAATATTTCTCTTCATCCTCACCAGCATTGAGTATTCTCTTCCTCTTAGTTTCGTTAATTTAATAATAATAAAATATTTCATTGCTGTTTCAATTTTATTTGTTTGATAGAGAGTATAACCTCTAATCAGTTCATTATGTCTGAGATTTGCTGATTACATGCTTTGCCTAGATCTCTGTACTGGCTAAATATTTTTGCAATGATGCATACTCTACATATTAATAATATTAACTCTTTATCATATTTACAGCAAGAAATTTTCCTGATTGTTGTTTTTTATTCATAGGCATCTTTTGATTGCATAATGAGGCCATATACATTTTGAAATGTGACTCAGGTCACGTTGACCTGAGTTCAGATCCTAGATTTGCTACATATTTGCTGTGTGAACTTTGGCCAGGTCTCTGAGCCTCAGTTTCTTGCCTGTAAAACAGGGTTACCTTGAGAGTTAGGATCAAGCTCAAGTTCAACCTGGCACCCAGGAGCCTGGAAAGCAGTTCCTACAATGATTCTGGCTTCCCGAGTCACATGTCCATCTCATTTTCAAGATCGAGGAAAAGACGTATCTTCTCTCGTTCTACTTCCCTGGTTCCCGCCCTGTAACTGTTACTAATTAGTGGGTAACTCAGCAGAACAGTTACTGGTAGAATTTTCATACTATTCTACTAAAAGTGAAGTTTTCTTGTATTATTTAATAATGCTACCTTTTTTTTTTTTGCTATTTTTAAATAGTGGAAAGTGTGTGAACTGTGGCTCTTCATAATTATAAATTGTAAAATAACATTTTAGGGAGTAATATTTCTTCTTCAGATCATCCATGAAATATATATCATCTTCATTGTTTAATTGACACTTTATTCCCCCTATTAAGATACAAGCAGAAATAAATTTCACTTCCTCCCCTGTAGATGCAATTTCATTTCAAACACATGTGTCAGCGGGAGCAATAAAGCATCAATTAAGCAATGAATTCCTGACAAATACATGGCATTTGATGCATAATTGCCCCCCTTCAATCTCATTTTCCCCAAGGCCAAGGTTTCCTGGACCATTTACTGTCGAAGTTTCACCTTTTCCAGAATTTCACCGAAATCGAGAAGGAGCTTCCCTTCCCTTTCTTGGCAGAACAGGCATCTCAGATACATTCCACCCCCAGGGAGCAGGGCTCCTGGGGCTCCTGTAAACCCAAACTAGTGGCCTTGTTATTCAAATCAGGAAATCAGGGAGGCAAAAGCCTTGCACAACCCCTCCAGAGTCTCCCCTTCTCATCTCTGGGAATCAGAACTGGACTTCAAACTCAAGTCAGCTCGCTTTTCACCATATTAATTCTTTACTGGAAATGGGCTTCGCAGGTGACTCCGTGGTAAACAATCCACCTGCCAATGCAGAAGATGCAGGAGACTCGTCCTTAGGTGGGGAAGATGCCCCTGGAGAAGGGAATGGTAGCCCACTCCAGTATTCTTGCCTGGAAAATTCCATGGACAGAGGAGTCTGGTGGGCTACAGCCATAGGGTCGTAGAGTCAGGCACGACTGAGTATGTAATTCTTTACTGCAGCGGCAGGGTAATTCCCTCTGCAAAGGAAAGGAAGGAAGGGAAGAAAGGGAGACAGGGAAGGAGGGAAAGAAAGAGGGAAGGAAGGAGAGACTAGAGAAAGGCCCATGTGCCTGGGGTTGTATCTCAGAGAAGGGGGGCTCCTTGGGAGATCAGGGGTGGTAGGCACCTGGCTGAGAAGGCTGTGCATCTCTCCTCCAAGCCCCCTGAGAGTGGGCGACATTCTGCAGTCATGTTTGAAGGTCGCCTAGGTGCTGGGCTCCATGCAGGCCCCGGGAACCTGGATGACCCAGGGCAGTTGCTCTCAGACACACGGGGGTCAGCTGTGGGGTCGTGAGCAGTGCCAAAAAAAAGATGAGTAAAGGCAGCATGATGAGAGCCTGGGGGAGTCGGGGAGGGACATAACACAAAGTGGGCACTCAACAAAGTTAGTTACGTGGAGTTTTAGAATCCGAAGCAGTGATCGCTTCCCCCCCAGAGGAGCTTGCCTGCTGCCTTGGCTGGAATCTTAGGTGCCATGGTGAACCCATCTGCTACCTGGCCGTGGGCTGGGCAGACAGGCTACATGCTGGGTGGTCACTGTTGATGAGCCCCAGAATGTGAACTGTTTGGAGGTGTCTGCCGTGCCTTTTTTCCAGGGAAGGCCGTCACAGTTGGACCGTGGGGTCTGGTGTTGGGGGTTGGGGTGGGGAGTGAGTGGGCCTGAAGTGTCATTTAAGGGGATGTTTAACTTCCACTCCCTGTTTCTGAAGAGTAATTTTCTGCAGAGACATGAAGACTAATAGGACAAACTTGGCTCATTTCGGCAAATTGCTCCAATTTTCCAACAATCTCACTCTCCCCCCACCACCCCCCAGCCCCTGTATCACCTGCCCCCACCTGTCTATTTGGACCACTTAATGCTCTGCATTCGGACCTAATAGAGGCTGTTTGTTTGGCCCTGGCCCAGAGGCTAGACTTGTTTTCAGGACAGAAGCGGGAAGAAAACCAATCTGGACATCTAAATCACAGCCAAGACTCATTACATAAATGATATATTTACACAATTGATCCTTCTTCCCACTGGGTAATTAATTCGGCATCGGAACTCTTAACGATTTAATTGTCATATGTTTAAACTGAAACGGTTGCCACAAATTTCCAAAGACAAAAAGCAGAATGAGGAGAGAGCCTTCCCTTGTCCTCAGGGTGGGGACGGCCTCCCTTCTTTCAAAGTAGCCGGGAAAGCAGGGCAGTGGCTGGTGGCCGCTGAGGGGCACGTGGCAAAGACCCTGTCTGTCTTGCTGCATTAGGTCCTTCCAGGGAGGGAGGGGGCTGGCGCAGAAGGAACTTAAATCCAGAAGCTACAGGCTGGGGTCCTGCTCTCGCCATTGAACAGGATGATGCTGGTGCGCCAGACAAACCCCCAGACCCAGTGAGCACACAGGCCCTGTCACCGCACCCCCACAGCACTTCTGCTCCCAGCTGCAAGCCTGTGTGTGTGTTTATGTGTTAGCTGCTCAGTCGTGTCTGACTCTGTGCAACCCCAGGGGCCACCAGGCTCCTCTGTCCATGGAGTCCTCCAGGCAGGAATACTGGACTGGGTTGCCATTTCCTCCTCCAGGGGATCTTCCCAACCCAGAGACTGAACTCAGGTCTCCTGCACTGCAGGCAGACTCTTTACCATCTGAGCAAGCACGTGACTCTTTTGGAGGACTGCCTTGGGGCTGCTAGAGCCACTTTGCCCGCGTGGCCAGATTGCTAGAAAAGCCTGAGGTTATGTCCCTCACAGGGCGGCCTTGACCAGACTGGCTGGAGGAGCAGGAACAGGACAGGCTTGGCCTCCTTGCCTCTGACAAGGACACGCTGAGGCGGACAGTCACTGGGGAGCGCCCCTCCGCACCCATGGCTTGGAACTTGGCCTGACATTGCACCTGGTTGGCTTTCCTTCCCTTCTCCCGCTGCTTTCTCTTCCCAGGCCCCTTGGGAGCACCTCCTTACTCAAGAAATCCTCGCCTGAGGGTCTGCTCTGGGGGATAAGTGCTGTCTAGCTGAGTGAGTTTGGCAAGCCTCCTGGCTTCTCTGGCCTCAAAGCCATCACCTACAAAACAGACAAACCAGTAACACCCATCTCCATTGTCACTGACCCCAGGGTTTTAAGGAGGGTGTGTCTGTGCAGGCACTTCCCATCCATTGTGTCATTCAGTCCTCTCAGCAACTCCAGGAGGAAGATACTCGTAGTATCCCCATTTTACAGATGAGGGTACTGAGGCACAGAGTAGCCAAACGCTTTGTTCACATTCACACAGCTGGTAAGTGGCAGGGACAGGATTCAGCCTGGGCATGCCATTTCTACCCCTCTCTCATGCACTGTGCAGCCCACCCAGGGGAGCTATGAGGCAGACGAAGGAGAAAGTTATGAAGCAACGGGTGAAGTGCAGAGGGCCTGAGATCATCCCTAGACAAGGGACGCTTGCTCTAGCATTCTGTCTCACTGTAGTCCCCACGGGAGAGAGGGGAGCTTGTCCAGGTCGTGGGCACACTGCCACATGGCCATCGCCTCTGTGCAGACCTCGTGATCTTGTACTGCAGGACACCTGCCCCAGCCAAATCCTGCATCTTCTCCTGCCTCATGCATGGCTGGGGAACTCCCCTTCCAAGATTCATCCACAGCTTCCTGGAGCAGTTATTTCGGCCTTCTCCCTTAGTGGAAAAAATAACACCTATGCAGTGGGAACTCCCTGGCCATCCAGTGGTTGACTCCACACTTCCAGTGAAGGGGGTGTGGGTTCGATCCCTGGTCAGGGAAATAAGATCCTGCATGTCACAAGGCATGACCAAACAAACAGACCACAAAGCAAAACAAAACAAAAAGCAAGACAAAAAAAAAACACCTGTGCAAGGAGGGAGTAGAGGTTGGTTACATTCTAATGTCACAACCAAGATTTGTTAAGAGAGGAAACAGCCAGGAGGTATCTGCATCATCTCAGGCCTCTCAGCTGGATTGACAGGGAAGGCGCTGGTGGAGATTTGATGCTCCAGGGAGCCCTTGGCTGGTTCCATCTGCCCAGATTCTCTGTGACCCTCCAAACCCAGGCAACCTGCAAGGTCTCACATCCCGAGTTGATAGCTTCATACTTATGGGTATTCTCTATCAGGGCCTGGGGGGAAAGTCAGATAACACACATAAAACATTTGGCCTCAGGACTGGCTCTTGGTCTTTAAGCACACATGCTACAAATATTTTAGGGAGTTCTTTTAGTCATATATACTTCAGAAAGAATCAGTCAAGCTCTTCCCAAAGTAACAGATAAATGAGAGTAAGTTCTCAAGCTAGCCTAAGCAGAAAAGGGAAATTTAGCATAAGGAAATACAGAACTCAAAGACAGAAATACAGCCAGAGGTGTGTGTGACCTCTTGAGGGATAAGAGGGATAAGAAAGTCGCCAGAATCAGGCCATCTGCTCTCTACTGGGCTTCTCTCTCCAGAACTACTTCCCCACTTCATCATTCAAGTGGTTAGTGAAACACATCCAAACACGTCCAACCAGTGGGCATTGTCATGAGCTACAAACATGGCTCTGGGAGTGGAGGATGAGGAGGGAGGAGGACAATTCCAAGGCAAGTGAAAGTGAAAATGTTAGTCACTGAGTCGTGTCCGACTCTTTGTAACCCCATGGACTGTAGTCCGCCAGGCTCCTCTGTCTGTGGAATCCTCCAGGCAGAAATACTGGAGTGGGGTGCCATTCCCTTCTCCAGGGGCTCTTTCTGACCCAGGGATTGAACCCAGGCCTCCTGCATTGCAGGCAGATTCTTTACTGTCTGAACCATCACGGGAGAGAATGGGGAGGGAGAAGGAAGGACAATTCCCAGGAAAGAAGGTACCTCAATAAATTGAGGTCCATTTCCTGCTGGGAGTGACAGCATAAAGCTGTGAGCACAAGGGAAAGCAGCTGTGGTTTGCAAAAAGATTGTCGTACAGTCATCCCTCAGTAACCAGGGGAGTTCCAGGACCTTTCCCAGATACCAAAATTCAAGGATGCTCAAGTCCTTTACATACAACTTCTGTATAACTTATGCATATTCTTTGAATACTTTAAATCATAGCTAGATTACTTATAACACATAATACAGTGTAAATACTAGGGAAATAGCTGTAAACACAATGTGAATGTTCTGTAAATAGTTATAGAAGCATGGCAAATTCAAATTTTCCTTTTTGGAACTTTCTGGAAGTTTTTTTCCCCTGAATTTTTCTATCCAAGATTGGTTGAGCTGCAGAAACCCACATATAGAGAGGGCTGACTCTACTCAGAAGTCATATCTCAGTTCTACCCATTATGGCTTTGGGTCCTGGGGCAGGTTGGTCAACCTCTGCTTCCAAGTGTGATCTTGCAGAAATGTAAGGATTCATTTAACACGTGCTTAGTACAGCAGGTGCCCTAGAGTAGGCACCCAGGACATTTAAGGAAAGAATGACAGAGAAAAAAGTCAGTCTTTCACTAAAGGCTTGTCCTGACCACTAGGCTTAATCTTTAGGTTTGGCAATCTGGAAATTAAATATACAGTTGAAATTAAATCCTGTGGGAGGCTAAACACTAGAATTACCAAACAAGAAAATTGTTCTAATTCTATAAGAATTATTATTTCTTACGTTCAACCTTAAAAAAAAATACCATTATCCCGTTTTACTTGTTTCAAAGTCTGAAATCTTGTTTATCTCATTTCGTAGTTTGTCTTCTCCACCAGAATGTGAACCCAGGAGATCAGTGTCCTCATGTTTTACATCTGTCTTCTCAGGGCACAGGCTGGAACCTGACACTTAGAAAGTACTGGAGAAATGTTCATCTTATTGGAGTGTGTGATTCATGGTGGCTGTGATGCCATAGTGATCTGGTTGACAAAATAGGGCCCAGGTGGAATTGGACATGGGAACATTCAAAATCCGTGCAGTTTTGGGGCATTTGTAAGTTGGGACAGAACACATCCTCGTCAAAACTTTGAAATTATGATTTATATGCACATATATGGAAACATGGGCTTCCCTGGTAGCTCAGCTGGTAAAGAATCCATTTGCAATGCAGGAGACCTGGGTTCGATCCCTGGGTTGGGAAGATCCCCTGGAGGAGGGCATGGCAACCCACTCCAGTATTCTTGCCTGGAGAATCCCATGGATAGAGGAGCCTGGTGGGCTACAGTCCGTGGGGTCACTGCAAAGAGTCAGACACGACTGAGCAACTAAGTACAACACAGCACATGTGGAAACATACTATTAGGTCATGTGATCAGTGTTGGATTTGAACTATGGTTAATCTGGAATAGATCAGGCTCAGAATATTGTGGCTAAACCGCTGTTGACTCTATCTTATTGCTTTCTCTTATCCGGATTAATTTTTTCCTACTCAAGATATATAAACCCAGATTCACTGATATCAATGAATCATCTGTATCTATAAGCTCTTGCTGCATAACAAACAGCCTAAACCCAGTGACTTAAAATAACAATCATTTATTATCACCAGGTATTACTATGGGAGTGGGCTGATCCAGATTCAGTTTGGCTGAGAGACTCTGCTTCAAGTTGAGTGTTCAACAGGACTTAGCTTCTCACCAGGGGTTGGGTCCAGGTCTGAGCCCCAAGACAAAAGGGCAGTAGCTACTCCAAGGGAATTCTCTCCATCTCCATGGTATAAAAGGTCTAGGTCCACTGTCCAAGCTCATTTCAAGCTTCTGCTGGCAACACGCCTGCTATCATCTCACTGGTCTAAGCAAATCAGATTAGCTAAGCCTGAAGTCAAAGGACAGCCACAGACACTCATCAACCACAGCAAGTCCAGCACCAAGCGTGACATCGGTGGGGTGGGAAGGGAAATATTCCCAAGGATGGCTGACTTATTTTTAATAACAATTCAATCTGTCACATCCTCAAATCAGGCTTTCCTCTTCTGTTCTCTCAAGGAGTGTATTTCCCCCATCTAAGGAATATGTGCATTTATATTTAACATTTCTGAAATCTGGATATGAAGGACAATTAGCATGTACACTTTTTTCCAGCTGTGCTGGGTCTTCATGGCAGTGCTTGAGCTTCCGTAGTTCCAGAGCTTGGGCTTAGTTGCCCTGCAGCACCTGGGATCTTAGTTCCCTGACCAGGGATCAAACCTATGCCCCCTGCACTGGAAAGCAGATTCTTAACTGCTGGACCACCAGGGAAGTGTGTGTACTTTTTGGTTAGCTATTTCTTGCTTTTTCTTTTGCCTAAAAAGCTGTTATTAAATTGATGGTGCATTTCAAGACTGACACTGTCTTAGAATGGAGGAATTGGATATTGGAATCTCAAGTATGTTCGGCTTTTCCCTCTCCCTGACTCCGGTGCTGAATTGGTTACCAGGTCCTGTGGCTCTGGCTCCTCAGTGAATCTCAAGTCCAGCTCCTCTCT